TTATGTTTCGAGGATCCTGGATTATTAACTGATTAAACTCAGAGTTATGTTATGTAACTAAATGAATGATGTTTTCTGAAATGTGTTATGAAGATTATATGATTAAAAATGAAAAATCGTTTTGAAAATTCACGTCGTTACAGTTTAAGAAACAAGCTTTAGTAACAGGATTGCTTTTTACTTTCAGAAGTTAAAGAATAGATTGGAAGGTATTGATACATCTAAACCTTTAGTGCCAAGCTCTGCTCTAATAATCTTTAATCCACAAGAAATTGATCCTACTAGTGAAGAAACGAAGAAGAAGAATGATGAAGAGGTGGAGAGATTAAAATAGTTGCAAATTGAATTGGATCAAAAGAGGCAAAGTAGAGAGAGAAAGAAGCTGCAGAGTTGATTGGTAATGCTTTATGGCCAAAATGGACTGTTGAGCGGATGATGGAAGAAGCTATAAAAATGTTCAAATTTATTGGCTTAATCCAAGATCCTCTTTTATTTTGACAACAAGGTTTATTGTCAGTTGGACTTCCCAATGAAGGGTAAATCTTTTCTGTTAAGAAGCTTTCATAACACTTTTAGTGTTGCTCTGAATAATGTTCCAATGAATAAAAAACTTTTTGAGTGTTATGTATCATAACCAGACCTCAATATTAAGTTTGGAGCATGAAGAAGATAACTATTGTTTGTGAATACAAAGTCGAGGCTATGAATGATGAATTTATAAATCACAAGTTCAAAGTGCTAAGGGAAGTGATAATGAGGAATGTGTGTTCTCGCTTGCTGATCTACCAGATATGAATCCATACAACTAGTTCGTTTTGTATTCATTTCTTTCCATGGAGAAAACAAATTTTGAATCAGCCTTTTCACTTGAAAAAGATGATAAAATTTTACTTTAATTATGGAGCTATGTAAGATGGATGTGCAAATGGCATAAATTTTGAAGAAAAAGATTTCAGTTGGCCCTTGTGATCAGCCAGATCACATTGATGGGATGAGACACGGGAAAATTCAGAAACAACCATTGGGAATTGTTCACAAGGCCATGGTTAATCGAGTGATGAAAACTTGTAAGATGTACCTTCAAGATAAACATTGCTTCAAGACCTCAACACTAAATGGTATTTATGTGAAAGCTGAGCTTTGCATGATTAATCTGAAAAGTTAGATCAAGCAGGTGTCTCAAATGCTAAGGTGGTGGATACTTATGTGTATGGTGATTCTACATTTTTCCCCAAAAGTGTTTGATGAAATCAAGTGAAGACTTCTTTCGCGACTCAACACAAAGGGGAGGGAATGTTAGGTCTCACTGATTATATGAGTTGTGTTTGAGTCATGTTGCAACAGCTTTTGTATTAAAATATCAAAGTCTTCTTTATTTCATTACGATACAAAGTTATGTTTCGTAGTATTGCACTCTAGGCTTCGTAGTGGTGTTCACTTTGTTGTGTTGAAAGTATGTTTTAGCCTAGGTGTCTTGACCTGATTGATCATTTCCTAACTGACTCCTTGGGGTGAACCTATGTAAAGGGGATATTAGTTAGACAGAGAGTACGCATTTTGCTAGGTTATTACACTCGTCATTATAATTCGATCCTTCCGTACTCTAATCTAAATTAGAATTTATTTACATTTCGAGTTCAATCTTTTCAACATATTTGAATCCTGATTTCACTATTTTAGAATCTATTTGGTCCTGCAAGGCATTAGATTTCCAGTTAGAACATTACACGTTGCCACATTCACATAAAATCATATATTGGTGTCATTTGATAAGAACATGCAGAATCAAGAACCCAAACATCTGATTGATTTCTACGATTAATCACTAAAAGCACTAAATCAAGTTCAGAACCTAAATCATCTTTTAAAACAATAGTTTTCCTTTTTGCCTTTAATTTTGGACAATCTTTCTTCTAGTAACCCTGTTATTTACAATATTGGTAGCCATCATTAAACTTTTCATTTGAAGCTCTAGTCTTTGAACTTGGTCTACAACTTCTCTTCCAACTCCCTTTTCCTTTACCTCTACCTCTGTTTTTACCTTTCTTTCTTTCTCTCCGTTCATTGCTAATAGTCTCGTTGATCGGTCATTTGCACCATTTGCAGAAGCTTTGTGGCGAAGCTCTTTATAATGTATACTTGAACGAAATTCCTCTATAGACATACTATCTCTTCCAACAACATACAAATTAATAAAATTAACATATGAGGAGGTTAAAGAAACAAGTAAAATTAGAGCTGCATCCTTATCATCAAATTTAACATCAACATTCATTAAATCTTTAAGAAGTGAATTCAATTTGTCAAGATGATCGTTCGATAACATTCCATCCTTCATATGTAGTGGGAATAATCTTTGATTCAAAATCAATTTGTTTGTTAAGAACTTAGTCATGTAATGGCTCTCAAGCTTCAACCACAGAGAAGAAACTATTTCTTCATATGTTTCTTCATAAATTACTTCATCAGCTAGAAACAAAAGAATGGTAGAATGTGCCTTCTCATCTTGTTGGAAAAAATAGGATTTAGACATGTCATTAGGTTTAGCACCAGCCAAGGGAGTCAAATGCCATGCTCTTTCAAGAGCGCTCTCATCTTGATTCTCTATAGGCTAAAGTTGTTCTTACCAGTCAACTTTTTGATATTGATCATCTGTGGAGGGATTTCTCTTGAATTTTGAGAATAATATTTGATTTTTGATTCAAAACTGGTAACCAGGTACAACCAAAAAACAAATCGACTTCTAAAAATCAACCAATCTGAAATCAATGAATCAACGAATCTGAAATCAATTGATTATAATGCAGTCACCTCATGGACATTTTCAATTAACAACTTTCTTTCTTCTCAATTAGCTCCACCTTGAATTGCACACCATAAATTGTGACTCATCAAAGAAGATAACAAACAAAAAACTCGATAAAATGATTGCAAGACGAAATAAATTCAAAGAAACTCAAAAAGGATTATACAAGCAGAATCACAAAGTCAATCGATTGGACAACGAAACCATAGAACCGATGGAGGAAGACGAGATCGATTGACTGGTAAGATGAAGGAGAATCAACAAGCATGTCATAACCTCCCGCTTTGATACAATTTTGTTATGACATTGTAAGAATATGAGAAGAGGATAAAAAGAATGGAATGCAAAATCTTATTCACCTAACGAGTTATTCCTGAATTAGGAACCCTCTCTTATTTATAGCAACATACAATTCCATTATAAAAATACAAAACTACCCTTAGTAGTTAAAGTCACATACTAAACTAACACTAATGTAGCTAACATATATAAACAAAACTAAATGAACAAGCTTACAAAAACGTAAATGATTATTAACGAACGGACATAAATGAGCGAGCAATATCGATGTTCATGTTAGTTCAATTTACTAAATGAACACAAAACATATTAAGACGGTTATTAAACATGTGGTTCGTTTACAACACTAGTAAACACAATTAGTTCGAGTCATATTAAAGTAGTAGTTTTTTTGAAAAATTCGTCAAATAAGTTTACAAATATTTATTATTTTACTGTTAAAGAATAATTAAAAGAGGTTGAGATTCATCCACTACAAGAAAAGTCCTTATTAGTGACGACCTAAAATTTCGTCAGTGAAAACATCTTTTAATCACCAGAAATTAAGTGGTCACTGAATTTTTGTAATCCCACAAATTTAATGACCAATTTTATGTGGTGGTCACTAACTCGGTCACTAAACCGCGAAAAAATTAAACTACTTTTGTTTCATATCATAACAACTATTTAGTGACTAAAAATAATAGTCCCTATGTTAAATATATAGTGATGACTAAGAATAATGGTCACTATGTTAGATGCTTAGTGACAAAAAAATGGTCACTTTAAAACCGCATCCTTACTTTTTTGTTATTTAAAACTACTTAAACGGGGAAAACAATTAGTGACCACTCAATAGTGGTCACTGATGAATTACAAGTGAAAAACAATTACTAGCCATAAAATAGTGGTCACTGACTATATATATATATATATATATATATATATATATATATATATATATATATATATATATATATATATATATATATATATATATATATTTCAATTAATAAAAACTAAAATATTTTTAATTAATATTTTTTATTTTTGAAAATGACAACAACTTTGTTTTCTTTTTACACATAATTTTGCAAATACTCATTACATTGACCGGTCCTTATAAACTTATTTACTATAATAATATTTGGAAAAGTTAAAAAAAAAAAAAAAAAAAAAAAAAAAAAAAAAAAACATGTTACAAAAAAGTAATGGGTTGTATTTATATTTTCCAACCCCACACATGGTGACGATATAATAGTGGTCACTGCATGGAAAAAATTTAGTGACCAAAAAATAGTGGTCACTAGTATAATCAGAAAAGAATACAAACGATTTTTTTTACATGGAGAAACAATGTGACAATAGAGTAACGGTCATTGGATATCAGTTAAAACTGTGAAAATTTTGTGAACATAATATTACGATCACTGGAAAATTACAAAAGAAAAAGAAATCATTGTTTTGCAATTTCAAGTCATAAACTTCATTTTTATTTCTCATTAATTTCATCGATAAATGGCTTATAACTTATCAACGTAAGATTACAACAGTGCCCTTATTTTACTGTTTTAGATTTAATTACATTATCCATAATGAAAATTGACAGAAATATATGCGTTAAATTAGTTTTGTTTTTTGGGTAAGATGGTATACTTTTCAAAGAGTGATTGACTATTTGTTTTTATACAAATAAAATAACTAGACAGCTGTCAATTTAATTGATAAATATATTTTTATATAAAAGTGTTTTTCCACGTAATAAAAATGAATACGAATCGGACCTTCTTACGATCCATTAACCCGTGTTTTCCCCACTCCATCTCCTCTCATCCCCTCCGGATCGCCTCTGCCACCATCGAATTGATTATCCCGGCGAATCTCTCCTTACAGTTTGCCCTAAATCGACACACCAATGATCGGCAGTTCGGAACCAGCGGCGTCTATCCAACATCGCTCCATATATACCATCCCATCGACGAACCTCTGTTCTCCAATCGAAGTCAAACATATACTCTTTTCTCTGCTCCGACCATCGATGTAGCTACATCTATTGCTCTCATGTCGCATACATAACTTTCTTGCTAATCAATCGGCTCCCTAATTCCAGGAAACATGATTACTTAGCTTACATCGACTACGTGAAATCACTTGATGCGCTACTTCTCCTCTTCCGGGTTTGGTATTCATCTATTGCCTTCAACCTATATTTTCAGCATCTAGGGACTACAATTCATCTTTTCCCGCATTCAATAGCATGTGCACAACAGTTGTTCAATGAAATGCTCACATGAATTGGGAGTGCATTTCTACTGTGGGTATGCATCTCGTTCGACTTATTGCACATATAGTTCTGCTGCAAGTTTCTTCCTAAAGTTTCCTGCAGGATTGGTTGTACCTGAGTATATCCATCTCCGTTGGTTCATAATCGGTGAGCTCTCTCTCTCTCTCTCTCTCTCTCTCTCTCTCTCTCTCTCTCTCATTTTTCTGAATTTGTCAAATCGATTTGTCTACGTTTTACCACAACTGAATCACTTGTTGGTCCTCAATCGATTTCTACGATTAGTTGAGTTTCTTTTGCTTTCTGTAAAGTTTTAATTGTTGATTTATATTTTGCTGAGTAATTTGTTCTGATTTTTGTGAAGTCTGCATATCATCGGTTCATCACTCTTTCTGATTTTTGCCGATACCTGATTGTCGAATCTTCAACTCTGCATAGCTTCAATTCATCACTAGGCAGTTCTGATTTTTGTTGAGACTTCATATTTGATCAGTTGATTGTTCATTTGTTCTTGGATTGTAAATCAAGAAATTTAAACATAAACATTTTAGTTATCATCATACAACGAATGAGAAGGCAAACAGGCAACAAGTTGCACCGCTAAGCCCTTTTGTATGGTAAAGTCAATTCTTTTGAAGACTACGTCCATAGATCTTGGGGATATAACATTGCTATAAATGATCCGTTGTAGTCTACTAAGAAGCTGCACCGCATCCGGCGCAAGGAAACCAAACATATCAAATGAAAATGGTCATCTTACGTTGATAAGTTATAAGCCATTTCTCGATGAAATTAATGAGAAATAAAAAATGAACTTTATGACTTGAAATTGCAAAACAATGATTTCTTTTCCTTTTGTAATTTTCCAGTGATCGTAATATTATGTTCACAAAATTTTCGCAATTTTAACTTATATCCAATGACCGTTACTCTATTGTCTCATTAACAACTTAGTCATTAAGAGAGCTGAAGGCGCTGTGAATTTGATGTGCCTTCTTCCACAATTGTCTGACCCGCAGAGTGAGCTCCTTCTACTTCGGTCTTGTATGGGTATTGCTAAAATTTTCTTTGGGCTGAGGACGTGCCAACCCGTTCACATGGAGGAGGCGGCGTTGTTCTTCGATAATGGATTACGCGGGGCGATTGAGGACATTGTGGTTTGCGGTGGCCCCTTCTTTGGCGACTTACAGTGGCGACGTGCTTCCCTACCCATTCGGTTTGGTGGTTTGGGTTTATACTTGGCAGTAGAGGCTACCTCATATGCTTTTGTTACCTCAAGGGCCCAATCTTGGGTATTGCAAGTCCACATCTTACGAGATAGCGGTATTTATGGTATGGATTCTGATTATGCTTGTGCCTTAGATTCTCTTCGTAACAAGCTTTCGGATATTAACCTTAGCAGTTTTACTACTAAGGACACCGCCCCCCCTAAATCCCAGAATACACTGGCGAGTTTCCGTTTTAGTAAAATTATCCAAGATATGGAGGTGAATTTTAATATGCCGGCTCGGCAGAAAGCAGTTTTTCAGTGTTTACGTACACCACATGCTCAAGATTTTTTATCTAGTTATCCCTATAGATGGGTTTGGCCAACATATATCTCCGGTGGAGTATCGTACCATATCACTTATATCTTCCAAAATGATTCTAGTTATGTCATATGTTCTTCATATCACTTATAAAACTTAGCTTTCATAATCATACCTTGTTTACAAAATATGAATCAATCTTAATCTTTTACACAGTGATGTTGATGGGGTCGCTAGTTTATGTTGATGGTACCGTTTGAAATTGATGCAGTTTCTGCACCCGAGGTGTGTTTTCTTGGTACACTTCTATTAATTTTGATGTTGTAAACATGTTTTTTTAATGCATTTGGCTCATGAACTTTTAAGTTAAATACAAGGATGTAAGGAGAATCGATCAACTTCCAATTCCTATTACAATATTGAAATAAAGAATGCGTATGTTACTCTATGGATACTTAGTTGTAATTAAGTTGAATGGAGATGCCATATGCAGGTGGTAGCTGCCATGTGCTCAACATTCCCTTATGTTAGCAAAGTAGTCATGAAATACGCTAGTTCTAGTAATGTTTTGTAAAGAAAATATGAGCAAGTTTCAAGATAATAGAACCACATTTATTGGAAGCTAATATGAGGTTTGATTGATTGTATTGGATTCAGGTATTGTAATTTTATTCAAACAATATTATCACTGAAATAATTAAGTATTTTTTTAATTTATAGCAATTACATCAACATAGTATCGTCTTTTCTTGTATTTTCCTGATTAGTGACGACTTTTTTGGTCTCTAACAGTAAATATTTAGTGACCACTTTTTGGTCACTATGGTCATTAATATGGTATTGAAAACCAGTGACATTTTTGTGGTCCTTAAAAGTGGTCACTAATTGAATAAAACAATGACGACTTTCTTTAATTAGTGACAATATTCGGTGACGAAACGGGTGGTCACAGATTTAGTGATGAGTATATTTTAGTCACTATTTAGTGACCATATTCAATTTTGGTCACAAAATCGATTTTGTGACGGACCTATAGTGAGCAAAAAGTGAACTGGAATTTTCGTCACTAAATCATTTTGTGACAAATCGTTCTACTGTTAGTGACCATTTCGTTTTGGTCACTAATTGGCATTTTTTTTTGTAGTGATCGGCACCTAATTAAGTTCACGTATCAAAAGTTTAACCTACCCTTGGTGGAAAAGTATCAATCATTGAAGATCTGCGTCTTGATTGGAACGAAATATGTAATTAAAGCTAAGCATGAAATGTATATTAGGCTATCAGGTATACTCTCCACGCCAAGGTTTGTGGAGAACTACCAAATCAGCCTCTACAAAACTCCATGAACCACCAGAGTACTCTCCGCTACCAGAAAGAAGAGATAGAAAGATGAAGCTAGGAGAGAAGAAGAAGACCAAAGCCTCCTATTCATGGTTGTTCTTCATCGCCATCACAACCCACCACGAATAATACTCGAGATGGTGTTCGGCCACCATGGACAAAGGAAACCTCCGTTGAGGTTATACGCGATAAGCCGCCCTTTATATTATCAATTTTGTACATTTTCTCCGGCCCTGAAGTGTTTTGACCCACCGTGAACGCACGCCAAATAAAAACAATCTAAAATAAGAAAATATTAGTACAAGTTGGCCATGTTTTATTAGACAAATATTATATCACTTTGACTAATATTTTCAAACATTATCACGAATAAATATTAGTCGAAAGATGATCTTATCAACTGGAATCAATGACATTTAAATCCGACAACTTTCTAAGGGTGTTGGCCGTTGGCATTATAGTATTATATTCTTAAAGGTAATACATTTTCTTGTTTCCTTCTAATCATTTAGTGGAAAAGCTCCAAAATAGCTCAAAACGACAATTCCTTGAAGTGGGAAGCAAATGTGATGATTATGGCTGAATAAGAGCATCTTATCCACACTTTATATCTAGCTAGTCACTATTACACGATCATGTAGCTCATTACACGATCATGTAATGTCCAAAAGTGTCCATAATTGCATTCTACTTCATTTTAAATTCACTTCGAGACTCTGGACACATTACATGAAAGTGAGCTGTTGTTTCGGCAGAAGGTGTTATTCAACAACAACATCCGAAGCCATCACATTAATATATCTCACTTGAAATTGCAGCAGAAAGAGATTCTATTGAAGACCGCTAAAAAAGGCTAATTCAATGAACCAATAGTATTCACAGACAGAAGATGGAACTACTTTATTTTTAGTAGTTACAAAAATCAATTACATAAACTATGTATGAGATATGTACATGTATTTAGTATTTACCATTCTCGAGAAATCTAGTTGTTGGTCATTAATATCGTTTGGCTTTGATCTACGACAAGGAGATGGTGTTTATCAGGAATTGAACTGTAATTTTTCCAACCAAAGAATAAGGATGACTAGGTGGTGACTGTACGCTTCTTGATTTCTTCTTCGCCTATACAATAAGATGCCAGATACGTAGCTAAAGGCCCACTCAAAACACAAAAATTTGGTATTAAAACAAATAATCAAGGAGACTAATGTATTAACATATAGAAAATAAAATGTAAAATCATCTACCACTTTCCTAAGCATCAGCTCCCAATGAAACAAGTGAAGTCCATGAGAAAGAAAGTCTAATCTATTTCTCGCGAACTTTGAGTTCGATTATAACATATTTAAACCAACATACCTGGATAGAGTTCAACAAAACAAATGTGAAAAAGTCTAGTGGACGATGTGATAAGTTGTGAAGAATGAGATTACACCTATGCACAAACTACTCGACTAAGGGAGGAGGGAGTTGTTCCCACTAGACCTGTCAATGGGGCGGGTTTTGACCCTGATTCGCTCCAAACCCGTAAGAATTTAACGGGTTTGGATTTTAATTTTTGATTCGTTTACCCGTTTACGATCCATACCCGTTTACCCTTTTAGTAAATGGGTCGGGTATGGATCATTGTCGATCCGCTCCACTTATGACCCGCCCCATTTAATATATATATATATATATATATATATATATATATATATATATATATATATATGTACATATATATGTACATATATATATATATATATATATATATATATATATATATATATATATATATATATATTTATGACAACAAAATATACAACTGGATGTTTAAGTAAAATGTGATTTTTATTGTATTGGACTTTGAGTATTAATCAATGTACATCTTGTTTAAGTAGACATTTTATCTTTTTGAGAAATATTACTTTGAGGAACACATAAAAATTATGAAAATTTAATATTATAAAAGGGTCGGGTTAATGGGTCGGGTAGTCGTTGATTCGGTGGATACGGGTATGGATTCGACTATTCAAGACCCTGAGGGTTATTGGAGCGGGGCGGGTCATGTTTTTATTTTTTTAAACGGGTTTGGATCAAGGGTGATTCGCTCCAAACCCGCCCCATTGACAGGTCTAGTTCCCACTGAACCCACTGCCACATCAGCTTTTCTCTTTTATTTTTCTTCATCTTTCCCAACCCACAACATACAGACATCCTATCTTTCTCAACCCACTCAATTAAAAAAATACTAAACAACTAAGGTACAAATCTTAAAACACACGGTACAAGAGAAAATGAGAGAGAGAAAATAGAGAGAGGATGAAGTGGGTTCGTGAAACCAATTAAACAACCGGCTAAAGAGGGAGTGGTACCAACGATAACTCTATTGCTAATTAAGATTTTACCTTGATTATTTTGTATTTTTTTTACTTGAGTGGGTTGAGTGGGTTGAGAAAAATAGGATTTCCGTGTGTTGTGGGTTGGGAAAGATGAAGAAAAATCAAAGAGGAAAACTGATGTGACAGTAGGTTCATAGGGAGGAGGGAGTCATTCCCTCCCAACCCACTGCACCCACTGCCACATCACTTTTTCTCTTTTGTTTTACTTCATTTTTCCGAACCCACAACACACGGAAATCATATCTTTTTGAACCCACTCAACCCACTTAATTAAAAAAAAAAAATACAAAACAATCAAATGTAAAATCTTAATTAGCAATAGAGTTATCGGCGGTACCACTCCCGCTCAACGAGTGGGTTGATTGGTTTCACTAACCCACTTCATCATCTCTCTACTTTCTCTTTCTTATTTTCTCTTGTACCATGTGTTTTAAAACTTGTACCTTAATTGTTTTGTATTTTTTTTAATTGAGTGGGTTGAGTGGGTTCAAAACGATAGGATTTCCGTGTGTTGTGGGTTCGGAAAAATGAAGAAAAATAAAAGAGAAAAAGTGATGTGGCAGTGGGTTCGGTGGGTTGGGAGGGAATGACTCCCTCCTCCCTAAAAGAAACAACAGTTACCTCACCAAGTTGTGCATTATATATAAATTTGTATAATTGAATCTTCCCTTCCTATGGAAATGATGTTGTCGGAAATGATGTTGTCTTATAGGTAGAAAGTCAAGTAGGTGGCAGGGGCATGAAAGTTGCCATGACCTGCAATGGTTCATTCAATATTGGTATTTTAGAATCGCATAACAAAATAAAATAATGACATAACCACCACAAAATGCAGACATCCCTTGAAGCTAAATGATGTTGAATAAGGAAACTTTCCCTCCAGAGGCAGACACAACATAAGAATCATTCTTTGACAAAGCAATGCATGTTGCTGACTCTTCAACAGGTTTACTCTCATTTACATCATTAGACATGAGTGCTCTATTCGTTGGTTGCCACAATTAAGGGAGTATATATTAAGTCGACTAAATTTGTACAAGGAAAAATCAAAATCCAATAAATGTGGTAATATGTTGAATCAAAAATATTCTTCAGGCAAATACCTTCCAAGATGAATTACGTTTACTTTGTTGCCATTTCCAAAGCTTATGAATCCCACTTGAAGTGATTGAAAGCAAACCTGACCCGAAATTTATGTAGATCAACTGCATAACCTAGGTTAAATATCTCAAGTTTAGATAACGATGGATAGTAAACAAAGTATAACTGAAATATATATATATATATATATATATATATTATATATATATATATATATATATATATATATATATATATATATATAAAGTTTGTTCCCTTAGGAATAGTAAATGGTTCCTATTGGACCACTTTTATATTTTTTTCTCTCCAGTAGTCAATGTTGCATTTCATTGTGTACACGGGAAATGGAAGTATTTCACTTTTGTTACCTTATTGGATTGGGTATGATAAATTTCAAATCTTTACGACGGAGTTCAAATATTTTGTTTAATCCCTTTTGTTGCCCAACCAAAGATTGCTCAGGATCGCATTGCAGAAGGAGGTTATTCAATTTTGCTTCAAATATATCATATTTTAGGAAAAAATTCTTAAATCAAGCTTTCATAATTACAGATAAACACTAACACGTAAAGCCTTTGGCAATGAAAATCAATGAAGGTTAAAAAGTTGGACACGATGTTGATGAGGATAAGGCAATTGTCATTTCCAAGGTAACAAACAAGTCACCTATGTACTCATTTTCTCATGTATTTTATCATTTTTTATTAATTCCTTTTATTTCCTTTTGGTAGCCTGTTGTTCAGGAGACTAGCAGTTTTAGTGTCAAGGATAGAAATTCAAATCGGATCAATCCATAAAAGGATTGGAAACTATAAATGTGTAATCAAAA